CATCTGACCAGTGTTTGATTGTTTGTTGTGTCTTGTTGCTTTTCTTCTTTTGTCTCTCCTCTATCCACTCACCCCAACCGGTCGAGGCAGTAGGCCGCCCACCAAGAGCCGGGGTCTGTCGGAGGTTTCTTCCATTAAAGGGAGTTTTTCCTCCCCACTGTCGCCAAGTGCTTGCTCAAGCGGGATTTGTTGGGTTTTCCCTATAGTAATAATATTGATAACAGTAAGGTCTGGACCTTACTTTGTAAAGTGTCCTGAGATTACTTTTGTTGTGATTTGGCGCTATACAAATAAAATTTGATTTGATTCTCCATTTAGACACCATAAAATCTTTTGTGCTCTGCTGGTGTGGATTAAAATGATACATTTTTCCTTAGCTATCAAAATAAAAACTGTGATATCAGTGACTGGCAAGTGGAAGTTTTCTGTCAACAGACAGTAAACAGTTTGTTCTCCATGTTTCAGGCAATGAGGACGCTGAGCTGGAAGCCCCACCTGGGTTCAGTTACTCTGGAAGTGGAGCTGGAGGATCGTGTCCTCACCAACCTCAGCGTCTCCCCCATCCAGGCTGCCATCATCCTGCATTTCCAGGAAAAAAGTACAGTCTTTTCAAAGTGATGCTGATTTGTTGTGTTCTGTGTGTAAAACAGAATTAGTGAGCATGTCTTTTGTTTGACATGAAAGCTCAAGCTGTCATCTTGTGGCTGACAGAGTGCTGGTATTGATCACAGCTCCATGTTGGCAGATAGCCTGAGCTGTGATTTTGTAATCTCTATCAGGTGAGAGAAGGTTGGATCGGTGCCTTTGTGCTTAATGGCCCGTTTGTCATCCATCAGGTTCGTGGATGCTGGAAGAGCTGAGCATGAAACTGGGCGCCCCAAAAGAGCTGGTGCACAGAAAGCTAGCTTTCTGGCAGCAGCACGGTGTGCTGAGGGAGGAGGCGGGTGGGCGCTACTATGTGGTGGAGACGGGTTCAACCAAAGAGAAGATTGAGAGAGGGGTGATGCTGATAGACAGTGATGAGGAGAGGGACTCCAATACCACCACCCAGTCTGAGCAGAGGGAGGAGAAGCTTCAGGTGCCCATGACACACATAAGCACATGTACACATAGAACAGTTAACAGGACAAAGCCAAGAAGCATTCTAAAACTCTGCCTCTGTCTCTGCAGCTGTTCTGGGCCTACATCCAGGCTATGCTGACCAACCTAGACAGCATGACGCTGGAACGCATCCACTCAATGCTCCGGATGTTTGTCTCTACGGGACCTGTCGTCATGGAGATGGATGTCAACGAGCTGGAGGTTTTCCTGCAGAGGAAGGTCAGAGAGCACCAGCTGGTGAACTCTGCAGGCGTCTACAGACTCCCCAAATCCAATTGATGGAGGAGAAGAAATACAAGGAGGATAAAAAGCTGACACGTGATAGACCATTTAAGAACGGTGGGAAATATGTGAAAATAATGCCCCCCCCTCCCTTTTTGGGTGGGGGAAAACTCCAGGACTTGCCTACTTCAGCTATCAGTACAGTAAGGCCCTGTTTGTTCTGCAGACACACCCTGTGTTTCAGATTAATTCTGTTACCCACGTCAACTAAAACTATAATCCAACAGGATTCAGCTGGATTCTCCTGATAGGAATGCAGCTTCTTTTTATGAAGGCTATTCCTAGCCAGGAGGTTGCTCTTATTAACTGTTCAGATTACATGTTTTTGAGGATCCAATCACTGCAGAAAGATGCGCCAATGTTGGGGAAACTAGACTGCAAAAACCTGCCCCTGGGAGAGAAGCATTTCAAAGTGCAGAAACACTTTGCAGTACAACACCAAACTCTACAGCTGGAAACTTGTCACATGCTTATGTAGGTTAGTGAAGAGGAAATTGATAAGTTGTACTGTTTAGCTTTTATTTAAATAAATTGTATACAGTGTTCAACACCAACAACCTGATTTCCAACTTTGAGCACTGATGCTAAAGAGTTGAAATGCTTTTATTTTGAAAAACCAAACAGCCTGTAAATAAGGCAATAATGACATCTACTGAGCCATTCGTTCACCACCTTTCATTCTGGTCTATATGGTGATGTTGCTGCTGTCGATGGTCGTGTCTGGGATAGAGGTGAGCTGAGGTGTGACTGGACAGTAAGGACCAGCCAACAGGATATGGACACAAACTTCACTTCAGCAAGATCCACCGTCTCACTTTCTGGAAGTGATTTCATTATTTAGACACAAAACAACACATTTGAAACAGCAAGGCACACGTTGATAAACTGAGTTGGCAAGACCAATCTCCAACTGTGTACAGCTGCTCTGGTTTAAGTACAGCAGAAGCATTCATGACATTC